AGTTATGGAGTTTCAGTTTGCATAAATGATGAAGACGGTGAAATGAAGAGATGTTTTGCAGAGATGGTTTAATGAAGATGCATGCTTGAAGTTACTGTTTTCGAGACAGTTTTGTGTTGTAATAAAATGTTTGGACTTTTTGTAACCAAAAAAAAAAAAGATTTTTTATAAAATTGGGTTGGGCTTGTTTTGGGTGTTTTTTGAGTTTTTTTTTTTTTTTTTTTTTTTTTTTTTTTTTTTTTTTTTTTTTTTTTTTTTTTTTTTTTTTTTTTTTTTTTTTTTTCTGTTGGGCATCAGTGGCAGTCCTGTAATTTATAAAAACTTCAACACCAATTTCTTATATAGTAAATGGATTTTGGGTGTGTTTCTAAAGTGCATTCCATGTGGGGTTTTTTTATAATTTCAACTCCTATTTTGGGTATATTAGTAAAGTTCCCTAGAATTAATGGTACAAATCCTATTCGAATTAGGCAAGTCTAATTCAGGAAAGTTGCAAATTGGTCTCCTAGAGAAGCCTTGGGTGCGTGAGACTGAGAGCCCACGCCATACGACGGCTCCTTCTTCTGTCGTCTAATTTTCTATAAGCAAGCGGAACCAAACGACGCCGTATCCATCCAGTTTTCAATTTTTCAGCTTTTAGTTTACCCACTTCTACCATTAATATTATAAAGATATACCCTAAACCTAGTTCCAACCCCAAAAAAAAAAAAAAAAAAAAAAAAAGTCAACTAAATCACTTAAATACCGATTAGTGTTTTTTCCCTTATGCCTACTCCGTGTGCACAACTTGGGTGTCTACCTTTCACTTCTGTAGCCCCGCCTTTTTTTTTTCTTTCTTGTAGTACAAGCAATTCACTGTATAAAATTATATAGCAACTCCCTACTAATTGTTACATTAATCTTCCTTTGCTGCCATTAAATCAAATTCAGAAAATTAAAGCCTGCTACTAGTTTGTTACATGAATATAACAAAGTATCAGCATATTCAAATAAACATAGTTAAAATTCCCAAATGATTCAAAATGCTAAATGAAGAAACAGTAGGTGACTACCAAGATTGTCAAACTAGGCTTGTTACTTATAATGCCCCCTGAAATTTTGGTCAAATATAACTTTGCGCCCTCAAACTGAAAGTCATCCATATACCCCCTTTGACCATGATTTTGTGTTTCACTTTACCCTATGCCGTCAGCTCCATTAAAAATGTTGACGTGGCAGGGGTAGTTTTGTCTTTTCATCATAGATGGATATTTTCTGTCTAATATGAGAGGGTAACCTGGCAAATTGTGGAATCTACCTCCATTCACGAGCCTAAATACAAAATGAAAATTTTAAGTGTGTTGGTGCAAGGAGATTCGAAACCATGACCTCCAATACCAAACAATGGGTCCTCACCACTAGAACAAGATGTGTTCTTATGTAATATTTGTACTATGATCAATTGGGGTGGCTAGGTAAGGATGGATTTGTTGGAGTTGGTTGGGTGTAGGTTGGCATTTTGGAGTTGTGTGGTTTAGGGTGGGTGATTTGGAGTTGGTGAATGAATGTGTTGGAGGTGATTGGGTGGAGGTGGCTGGTGGTTGTGTGGTGGTGGGGTTTGTCCAATGGGAGCAGCAGTGGGGATAGAGTGGGTTTTGTGGGCTAAGGCCCAGTTTGGGATTGCTGTCGCTTTAAAAAAAAAAAAAAAAAAAGATGCTTATGATGTGCTTTAAAAAGAATCAGCTATAAAGCAAAGCAGTTAAACGTTTGGTAAATTGTAATTTTAAAAGTGTTGTGAGTATGAAAAGCAGTGTCAGAGTGTTCGGTAAATTTTACTGTAAAAGTGTTGTAACTGTTTATAATGGCTAAAATAGACATGATGCTAAAAGTGTTTTTATACTAATCTGTTTTGTAAAAAATAAACTTTGAAAGTGTGTTATACTTTTCTCCCTAAAAATTATAAATATTTGCTTAAAGAAAAATAAAAATTCAATTTTCTAACGAAATATACCATTTATTTTCTAGGACCAAATATAACCTACTTTGGTTTAGACTCAAATGACATTATACACAATCACTTTATACTCTACTAGAACAACCTTGGGTATGCACAAATTTGAACTCTCAAGGTCTGGGAAAAGCAAAAATAATTAGGTATTTAATAAATCTTCCAACAAAGAAAAAGTGATCACCACGGTAGTGGGTTAATAAACCATCCTTCAAATTGAATAAGTAATAAATATTTTTTTTGACAAATCCATCGTTCTAATAAGGTTTAAATTGTAGCAATAAAAAAAATGGAAATAAAGAAATTGTCTAAGAAGATGCATTCATTAAACTTGTTGCAATCTTGTTCATTAATGTTTCTACTTCTTGTGCTCCAGGCCCTTGAGTAATATGATATTCTTCTTGTGCATCACCCTCCATCTCCATTGCATTTGGGTTGTCATTTACTTTGTCAAAATGAAAATCACGCTGGGCATGCCTCCTTATGTACTTGTGAAGTGCCATAGTTACAATTACTATCTTCACTTGTTATGGAATGGATAGCTAGGCATGTCTCGAAAAATACTCCACTTTTTCTTCCATACACCAAAAATGCATTCAATGACACTCCTAAGGGAAGAGTGTATGTGATTAAATACTTCTCTAGAACTTGTTGGTTGAGTACTCCTATGGAAATCTGGAAGATGATACCTTTCACCTTTATATGGTCCCTAATACCCGCTCATTTGTGGGTAACCCGCATCCACAAGATAACATTTTCCTATAACCAATAAGATATGTTTAATTGTAATGTAATTTGAAAGTGAAAAAAATTATAAGTTTAATGATATGCACATATTTGAAACATTACTATTTGGAGGTTTGGGAAAATTTAAAGCATTGTTTCATAATGCTGATAAAAATACCCTTGTATTGTGTGTAGTGCCTTCCCAACCTGCACATGCAAACATGAATTGCATGTCAAAATTACATGCAGCCATTATGTTTTGAGTCGGTATTATTTTCCTGCCAATATATGGTACTTGATCTTCAGGAGGTATTGATGCTTGAACATGTACGTCATCTATAGTACCAATGCAATCCTGCAAACAGTAAGAGAAACATTTCAATAAATATTACTTTGTTCATAAAAAAAAAAAACGATAAATTGTTACATCTAATTCTTACCTTAAAATGGGGCATATATCTTGAATCTCTCAATATCTCTTTCAGGACTCTATTAAACTCAGGATCCGAGGGTTTTATGACATCAACGGCTATAAGGCATACAATATCAAGTAATGTACCAAAGTATCTACTCACAGTTTCACCAGAATGTTGAAATCGTTCTTGTGCTAGCCTATTCCCTATACCATGTCCTAGAATGTGCACAAGCATTCCCAACATCTCAGCAGCGCACATTCTCCTAGAACCTCTCAACCCACAATTATTTTTCAGGTAAGTGCGTAATTTCAAAAATACACTTTTATCCATTCTAAACATTCTATAACAACATTTTTCATTCCCCCGTAACATTTCCATCACCCACTTATTTCCTGTTTAAAAAGAATCCATACAAGGACTTTTAAGAGTATACTTCTCATAATAATATTCCATAGTATGAATACACACATACAATTTGGTTGAACTCCCTTTCATCTTCTGAAATTTCCATATCTTGAAATAAACCTGCAATGTTATAGACATTCTCATCATCATAATAAACTAAAATCCACATATGCATTGATATAAAACAAAAGTCATATGAATTTTCAGTCAAAGCAACCAATTAAAGTCATTCAAGTAACAACTCATTATTAAAAGGGTAAATTACTCAAATGGTCCTCAAACTTGTACGCGATTTACATTTTGGTCCATAAATTAAATTATTAGTCCAAATAGTACATAAACTCTATTTTAATCGCCCATTTGATCCAACTGTTACATTCTGTCAATGTTGCTGTTAAATATGAGGGCAAATTGGTCATTTTGTACGTTAAAAATAAATAAATACTAAAAAATAAATAAAAACTCTCTCTCTCTCTCCCTCTCTCTCTCTCTCTCTCTCTTCCCATTCCCCCATGGCTGCCACCCTCAAGCTCCAAACCCATCCCACAACCACTCTCCACCCAAACCCATCCAACAACCACCCTCCATCCCAAGCCCCATGAACCCAAAACCCAAGCTCCTCCCCACCCTCCACCCAAGCCAGCAACTACAGAAAAAGAAAAGAAAAAAATCTTCCACAAACCCCCTCCCAACCAACCCAGAACCCCAACTCAACAACCACCCAGACCCTCTCCCCCTCCCCCTTGATTTCCCTTTGTTGTTGAGAGACAACCACCCACCACCCTCCTCCCCACCTCATCACCCGCCAACCCCACCTCCCAAAATCACAACTACTGTCAATTTCTCACCCTCCAAGTACAAGTACCGATTCTTCAGCCAAGACACCAACATTGCTGCGAGGTTTTGGGGATTTATGCCATCAATACCAAGGCCAACACTCCCACCATTTTCGCCATTGCCCACCTCCTCAGGAGCTTTCCTCTTCCTTTGCCCCATAATTATTTTCCAAGTCAGTGCATAATTGCAAAAATACACATTTATCCATTCTAAACATTCTATAACAACGTTTTTCATTCCCCCGTAACATTTCCATCACCCACTTATTTCCTGTTTGAAAAGAATCCATACAAGGACTTTTATGAATATACTTCTCATAATAATATTCCATAGTACGAATACAGACACATACAATTTGATTGAACTCCCTTTCATCTTCTGAAATTTCCATATCTTGAAATAAACCTGCAGTGTTATAGACATTCTCATCATCATAATCAACTAAAATCCACATATGCATTGATATAAATAAAAGTCATATGAATATTCACTAAAAACAATCATCCAAATAACAGTCACATATAACTAACCATCCAAATAACAAATTCAAATAGCAAACCCAAATACGAAACCTAAAAGATAAATCCAAGTAGCAAAACAAAGTTCTAAGAAATATTAGACATTGAAGCTTATTTTTCAGAAAGCTCATAGTTTAGCCATTGAAGCTTGATGTTAGGATCTTCCATAGTTGTGAACATTTCTCTTTTCTCTTGATTTAGAAATAACCGAGTTGCAAACAACCACAAATGGCTCCCAGGTCCTGCACCAGGTAAAGACGAAACTGCTTTCATCACTTCAGCAATGCTACTGCCTTGTGACCCTTTCATCATCACTGAAGTTGTACCCTATTCTCCATTATATCAACCATCCGCTCAATATGTTGTGACAATTTAGCAACACCTCCTACCTTCTCCACTTTTGTAGCAACTCTATTTCCATTCTTCTCTTTCTTAACTTGTGTATCAAGTTGTTGATTTGTTCTCTTTTTCCCCTTCCCACAAGATTTTTCAGTGACTTGAATTATTTCATCTGGTACGTACGGGATCATCCGAATCATCACCACTGTCGAGTAGAATACCATCACATTTGGATGAATCATGAGTTTCATATGGGAAGTACACCAGATGAAGGTGCCCAAGCATGGTCACCAGTGGCGGTGGTGTTCATGAACATTCTATCAAACTTCTCTTCTATATCAGGACTATTACCCTTTCTACGTAGTTTTGCATATTTGGGATTTATCTGCATTTCAAAGAGAACAACATTAAAAACTATTACAGAGGTTTCATTGAATTATAATAAACAAACAACATTAAAAGCATTAATAATAACATACCTGAATTTTGTTATGCCACCATTCATCAGAAGCATCAACAGTCCGAAGTTTGGAATTCCACCCAAGACCAGTTTCCTTTCCAATTAGTTCTTTCCATATTTTCCATTGCTCTTTAAATGCATCCCACTTATTTTTCAATTGTGATTTATTATACTCTGCTCCTGTCTCTTTACTCATGCTAATCCTCACATTTTCCCATCATTCTTTCTTAAAGTGAGTACCAGGACGATTTCCTGCCTCCACCTCCTTGATACACAAGTCACAAAATATAGTTGTATTTTGATTATTCCATATAGCCGAAACTCGAGATCCACTAGCCACATTATTATTCTTCACCATCTGTGCATTTCTTATATAAATATGTATGTATTGGGAGATGAACATGTTATAGCAAATAATTGTTTTACTAAAAACATGCATATAGTGCCCTACAGGAATACTTGGGAAAAACTACATATATGAAAAGCAGTTAAACCAAGTAGTACAAGATGACAATGATTCAAACACACTCCAATATATTTTTCCCTTATTTTTGGGTCTGCAGTTTTGATATTACCTATTCTGACATCAAACCCTATTGAATTAGAAAAAAGATTAATAAAAGTTAGAGAAAAACCACCATAATTTTATTTCTTTTATTGAATCAAACCCTCTAAAAAAAACAAAAATAATAAAGAGCAAGAATAATACCTATAATGAAGAGCAAAAATAATTTATTTCTTTTATTGAATCAAGCATCACTATCATACATCAGCTATGGAAAAAAAAAACTTGTGGGTTGTTTAGAGCATAGATTGATGACTTTAAGGTTTTGAAAACTAAGCACTAGGCTTTTCTAATTTGCTTAAACTTTTTTCACCCCGAACCCATAAATTATATGAAGATCCGAATTTGAATCTCATTACTTATTATACTTGTGAATTGCTAAAACCGGGAATATATTTTGGTAAATAGTTGAGTGACTTGGATGAAAACAGAGTAAAGCTTAGGCCTTAGGCCTTTTACAGGACAAGCAACCCAACAATGGATAAGAAAGCTTCCAACTTGGAAGAATTAGAGTTGAAGGAAAGCAAGGTTGACCTACCATTGAAGGACCTTTTGGACCATATGGATTCCATCCCTCAAAACTATCATACACGAGAGATTGAAGAATCCATATATCCCTAAAAACTATAATCAATAGCTTTGAAGAGTTTGATCATTTACCTTTGAAAATAGATTGAGTGAATTGTCTGCAAACTTTGGGAGGCTATAAGAGATTGAGCGAATAGATTGATAACTTGGGAGGCTACAGGAAATACAAAACGTTGGTGTCTGCAAACTTGAGAGAAATACGGGAGATAAATTTCTAACCTAATAAGGGTATTTGTGGAATTGCAAAAAATTCATTAAAGGGAGCGTGTTGCTTCAATTGAAAGCAGCTTTAAAAAGCAACCCCAAGGTTGTTTTTAAAAGCTGCTGTCAAAAGACCATTGCTTTTAAAATAAGAAGGATATTTTATTTTTACCAAACACCTTAAACCGAGCAGGTTTTTGGCGAAAAAAAGCAATCCTAAACGGGGCCTAAGAGAGATGGGAGATGGAGATTGTTGGAGTGGGTTGTTCTGGTAGGTAGGTTGAGGTCGCGGTGAGGTGCAGGAAGGTGGAAAGGTAGTGGTGACATCGAATTGGGGCTAGGTGGACATGGCTGATGAGGGTGGGGGATGTGGTTGCTGGTTTTTTTAATTATATATTTATATGTTTCAAGAGAATTTTCTATTTTATTAATGTTTTTATGCCATATGGGACAAAAAGGCGAAATTATCCTTGCCATGTCAGCAATTTTGACGGGGTTAGAAACAAAGTTGATGGTAGGGGCAAAGTGAAACGCGAAACCACAATCAAATGGGATATATGGGTCACTTTCAGTTTCAAGTGCAAAGTGAGATTTCACCAATGTTTTGAGGGGCATATAAGTCAATAAATTAAATTAAATTAAATTTCCTGTCTCCCTTCCTTTTTTTGGAAACATAATTTTTTATATACCTAAAACAGAATAAACTAGCAAATTCCAATAGGTTGTTGCAGCATGAAAAGTCTTGTGATTAATAACCTCAAAAATGGATTCTTTTTGTTATTAATATTTTGAGAAGTCATATAAGGTTAACTAAATGTGTAAGTAATTTATGAAGTTGGTTTAATGTGGAAATCATGGTAAGTGCGTTTAATCTCAATTCGGATTATAATGTGCTTAAGTTTAATTTTATAATTTTTTCAAAGCATGTATTAGAAATTGAAGTGAGAAAATTATGATTCTTGGATATAAAAATAGTATAAGTCGCTACAAGCACATGGTAAGTTTCGGAGAATTTGTCAGAGCTCGGATGAATTTTTAATGAATTTGTTGAAATTGGATCAATAAGAGGATGACACGTGGCAGCCAAGGAAATAAAATAAAAGGCTTTTTATCACAAAACGTCCTTGACGTTTGCGAAACTATCAGATTGCATCCTTAAGGTTTTTTTGTATCACTCATGGTCCCTAACATTATTATGGGTGCTCTTAAATAGTCGATCCGTTAAAAAAACTGTTAAGTCCCTATTTTATGAAGGATATAATCATCAAATCAATCCGTTTTGACCTCTTCAATGCCTTAGACCCATTTGCCACCAATGCAGGACCATTTCCCTCCATTTTTTGTTGGAATTGGCGGGCAACTAAAGCTGCAATTCATTTTCACATGCTAAAAGCGTTGAAAATGGAAAGGAACAAATTGGACTATAAACAACACACATTGAACAAATTGAATAAACTAAACTACCAACCACTATGAACAAATTGAACCAACTGCATACATCAAAAACCACTTCCATATATAAAAAATCACTTTCAATTACATCATCAACCACATTCAGTCCCATCACATTAACCCCTACATGACTTCCATCAAAAATCACTTCCATACATACAAAAATCCTAGACCACTTCCATCAAAAACCACTCTCAGTTCCATCACTTTAACCCCTAGAAAGCTTCCATAAAACAAAACAATATCATACATCAAAAACCTTATACCAATTCCAATTACAGTTCCATAAAACATCATCTCAAACTCTCCATGACCTTCCTTTCTTTGTTGGAGACTTTAATTTCCTTCTTTGAACAGTTTGTGATGTTGAGGCCTGTTGGGGTGAAGAATTGTGTGCAGTAGGAGGTTGTGATGCCACTTGAGGTGCTGGAGAGGGTTGTGAAAACCTGACAACTGCTAAAGAAGGTTGTGAAATACTTATTCCCGATGGAGCATTAGAGTTTGACCTTGATTGCTGCATTTTCCTCCCTTCTCTTGCCACCTAGACAATAATTAAAGTCAAACTATAATATAATAATGAGAACCATTTTAATCACAATACAACGATTTTGTAAAACCTTAAGTTTTGGTTTCCTTTGTCTAGGTTTAGGGACCACTTCGGCACTTGGAGGCTGCAAAGCATATGAAGAATTTTAGTAATTAATCAATAAGAAAATGAATAATATAATTCCTTGAAGTAAGAATATAATATACCTGTTGACTTGTTGATTTGCCACATGTTTTCTTATTATGGTCAGCTTGGCCACATTTGCTGCAACTAGATAGTTTGTTTCCTTTGGTTGCAACTGGTGGATCACCTTGCTCCCTAGCCCTTGTCTTTCTTAGCCTCCCAATTTGCTTCTTAAATAGAGGGGCCAACAATGGGTGAAGACCAGTGCTTAGCCACTGATCCATACTAGGCATTGGAGAAATAATAGGGTTATAACACTTAAGATAAGCTTCCATTTTGTAGCACTCATCTACATATGAGTAAGGGTCATGCTTCCTTCTAAGAATGCAACTGATTGCATGTGGACATGAGAGCCCACAAAGATCCCATCTCCTACATGAGCATGTTTTTATTGCAAGATCCACCGCAAATTGCCCCCCATGCATATTTGTGACTTGATATTTCATATCCCCAGACAAAGTAGGAATACAATAACCATCCTCCAACTTGTTCTTCTCCATAATTTGTTCAATCCTTGGACCAACATGCCTTTTCCACTTCCAAGCTGCAACCCTCCTGTTTGCCATCCTCACCATGAGATTTGTCCTTATACCCTCAAGCATTGACAGAATTGGCTTGTCCATTGCCTTTAATATTGAAGAATTGAAAGCCTCACAAAGATTATTCAACAAAATATCACACTTATACTGGGTTCTAAAGTGTGATCTACTCCAATGAACTGCAGACTTTGGGTGCAACCACTTCCAAGCAACTTCACTCTCTTGCTTTATCCTCTCCATATGGCATTGCCACCAAGGGATTGTTGTTGCCTTAGTTGCTTCCCACATAAGTTGTTTCAATGTCAGGCCACTATGTGAAGTCTTGAAATTGTTGTAAAAATGACGGACACAATGCATATGTTCTGCATTGGGAAGTAAATCAGTAAGGGCAAGTCTTAAACCCTTTTGTTTATCTGAAATGAAAGAATAACCATGTCCATTTTCAATGGCTAAGTCCGCAATCAGATTTCTTAAGAACCACTCTCATGTCTCTTTATTCTCTATCTCTACAATAGCATAAGCTAGCGGGAACATTCCATTGTTCCCATCGATCCCCACTGCTGCCAATAACTGACAGGATGTGGTCCCTTAATGAAACACCCATCCATACCAATTACAGGCCTACAACCTTGCAAAAATCCAGTCTTGCATGCTTCCAAACAAATATACATCCTATGAAACCTTCTTTGATCACCCTCCATCTCAGTTTTAAGCAAAACCGCACTTCCTGGATTTGCCCTCTTCAATTCCTCACAGTAATCGTGCAGCTTGTGGAATTGCTCAACAAAAATACCTTTGTTTAACTTCGTTGCCTTTAGCTTAGCTCTATATATTTGTTGCATACTCGGTTCCAAGCCAAAATCTCTCTGAGTTGTAGCTGTAAATCCAGGAACTGACCAATCCGGATCAGCCCTTAACTCATTTGCATACCTTTGAGCAAAACAAGTAGAATTCAACCAGTAATTTCTCTGATCCCTTGAACACTCATGCTCCAAATTCAAGGTTTTGATGACCATTGTTGGTGAGTCATTAATTCTCGAAGCAAATATGACAAAAGGGCTGCCTACCTCACATGCAACCCTTACTCTTCGTTTGTCATCCTTTTTAAACTATATGTTCTT